ATGTTCTTTTCTGTGTATTCTGAGCCCTTAATTAGCAGACACACTTTAATACAATGTAGTGGTTTCTTGAAAGAACAAACATTATTTCGGGGAAAGAGGAAAAGTCACCCAGCTTGTCTGACGAATGCAAAAGGAAATGTGGTTAAGGAACTGCACCACAGCAGCCAGGAGAGCAGGGCGCAGAGAGGAGCTGCGTGGGACCGTACACCAGCCAGGCAGAGCAGCAAAGCCAATGCAGGCACAGCTGTGTGCCAAAACGACAGCCTTCCGAGTTAGCTTTCCCAGGATTTTTTTTTCCACCGCTGATATTGTAAATATCTGTTAAAAAAAAAAAAAAAGAAAATGTTATCAAGAGATGCCTGCTGCTATTACCTGATTTACTCCGAAGATTTATTTCCCCAATTTTATACATAGTTGCCCACCTAGAATCACGGTTACATACAGTTATGCATGTATATATTATTTATTTTCCTAAAATATTCAAAGTATGGTTTAGGTCACATGGTCTCTTTCATTTCCTCTGTCCCATCTGAAATGACCAGGGATCCTTCAAAATCAGAAACGTTCCCATAAAATGCCTAACATACTTTCACAAAATGACTTGGCTTTAGTAATACAGGACAGTTTTGCTACTGCAAAAGCCTTACTAGAAATGGGGTAAATGTTGGTCATTCAGTATATTTTCCACTCAGCTTCAAAAATACTTCTATGAAAATGCACTGTTTTTAAAAAATGGAATAGTGTTTTCTTTTTTTTTTCTTTAATTAATCCTTCATGCCCATACTTGGATTGTTTTTTTGTTACCATTTCAATTACTGAGAAGAAAAGAATAAAAACTAATAACAATGGAAAAGAAGGAAAGAATTTTCCGATTTGGCTTCAAAAGATTGTTAAAAGTACTTTTTGGAAAGAGAAGTTAATATTTTGAGAGGAATAAAAGTTCCTAAGATCTCCAAATGCATCTACAATTTTTCACTAGCTCCACAAAATCTAAAATAACTTCAGCTGGCCAAATGATTTGTTTTCACTTGGTAGCTTGTTTTCTTTCCCAAACAGTTGAGACTATGGCTTGCTGTAGCTCATCCTATGCTGTGATCAGTACTTTTATAAATGAAAAGATTTATTTACCTCAGAACAGCCAGCCAAACATCTGAGCCACGGCTGCCAAAGGGAATAACACTTTGGATCTCTTATAGGCTTAAGGTGTTCTTAATGTCTTCGGTTCTAATTTTCCATACTCAATTTAATTTGGATCAATTAAAATGCTGCAGAAAGGAGCTCACAGCTGCCTTGCTGTGTTATTTTCTTATATAATTATCAAAAACAAAATATTTTGATCTGTTAGCTATCTTATATGTTGAATAGACAGTATATACAAATCTTTTGAGGATAAAGTTTTTTCGCATGTGTCTAAGAATATTTCTGTACTATTGGGGAAGTGCTGCTTATCTGTGAATGCCTTTGGAAAGATGTTATCCTTGAAGGAGTGTAGTCTTATGTTACCGTTTTTTTCATGGAATCATAGAATGCTTAAGGTTTGAAGGGACCTCTAGAGATCGTCTAGTCCAACCCCCCTGCATACGCAGGGTCACCTAGAGCACGTGGCACAGGACTGCGTCCAAGCGGGTTTTGAAGATCTCCACAGAAGGAGACTCCACAACCTCTCTGGGCAGCCTGTTCCAGTGCTCTGTCACCCTCACTGTTAAGAAATTTTTCCTTAAGTTCCTGTGGAACTTTTGATGCTTCAGTTTCCAGTCGTTTCCTCTAGTTCTGTCAGTGGCTACCACTGAAAAGAGGCCAGCACCATCTTCCTCACTGCCTCCCTTGAGGTACTTATAGACACTGATGAGATCCCCTCTCAGCCTTCTCTTCTCCAGGCTGAACAGGCCCAGCTCCCTCAGCCTCTCCTCATAGGGCAGATGTTCCAGGCCCCTGATCATCCCTGTGGCCCTGCACTGGACTCTCTCCAGCAGCTCCACATCCCTCTTGTACTGTGGAGCCCAGAACTGGACACAATACTCCAGATGTGGCCTCACTAGGGCTGAGTAGAGGGGCAGGATCACCTCCCTTGACCTGCTGGAGACGCTCT